TAAATCCAGTCACAGCAATTAAAAAATAAAAACATGCCTACTTGCTTTAAGTAAGGGGATCTGGGACAGTTTTTTGTGCAAGAGGAAGAGCAAAGAACATTTTTATTATTGCCACCATAAAGGCTGGCATTTCTTTCATTGACTCGTGTTCATTCATTCATTCAACCAGTATGTATTAAGTGCCTTCTGTGGCCAAGCCCTATGCTGTTGACTGATAAGCAAGGCCCTTGCCGGCAAGGTTTCCCCTGTTTCAGTTGTTCTCTGGCTGCCTGGCATAGATGGCATCTTTTTCACATATACCAGCTCGGCCAGCTGCAGTTTCCAGGATCCATCTAATCTAGACAGTCCCATCACGGGGCGGGGGGTGGGGAGGCACCAGAGTCACCTGGGAAGAATTTTAAACCACATGCCTGAGCCTACCCCAGGCAAAGGGCAATCTGATTCATTAGGCCATCGGAGTCCTGGGAGGCCTTTTTTTCCATTTTCAGCTCCCTGTGTGACCTTGCCCGACACCCCTGCTTGAGAAGCACTTTGAGGGCTCATCCCCTTTTCTGGAAGAAAAGTACCTGGAGCAACCAAGGCTACACAGGCCTGGAACTTCAACCCAAGTGTCTGGCTTCTGTTGCAGGGCTGTTCGCGCAGGGCTCGCTGCCCCAGGGTTCTGAGTGTAGAAGCCTGTGCCAGGGCCGAGTAGAGACTGGACGGGCCTGGGAGCCTAAGAAGACTAGGAAGAGCCCCTGCGACTTGCTGTGCCTTTGACTCACATCTGCAGCTTGCCAGCTCCAGGCCAGAAGTCAGAACAGTGCCCAGCGCAGCAGATGCTGGGACTTCAGTTCACAGCCTCACACCGCGGGTAGCAGAGAACAAAGGATTTCTTTCGATTAGACACCAGCTGACCAACTCCTTGACCTTAGAAAAGCCACAGCTTCTCCAGACCTGTTATCTTCCAGGAAGCAGGTAACTGAAGGTGAACTCTGAGGAGTGTTGAGGTAATTAATGTATGAGTCTGCCCCTGGAGGCACCTTTCTGCCCAACTTGGGCCAAGGGGCTCTTAAGATTGACAAATGCAGCTGGCTACTGAGCATCCTGATCAGATCATGGAGGTGGCATTTGCTTCCCTCCACCTCCTGTTACACTCCTAAAAGACAGCAGCCCCTGGCAGGTGTGGGGTGAAACGGTCCCAGTGCACGCTTATTGTGCTCACCACGCCAGCCACTGCTCTGGGAATGCTGGAGTTTTCGAGAGCCCACGAAATGGGCACTGTCATTACACACTTTAGAGAGAGCATCAGTGGTATTTCCAAGGTCACATGGCTAAACAAGGATAGGACCCAGGGTCCACTTGCCCTGTTACCTCATTAGTCCCAGGCAGGGGCCTTGTCCTGCCCCTGGGTTAGGCACCTAAAAGACTGCACAGGATGGTGATAGTCTAACCACTCCTGCGCACTCCTCTGCACCTGTCATGTCAGGCCATCAGGTGCTTGTTCTCAGCCTTGGCTGCACATCAGAGCCCCACTGTGGGGCCCAGGCAGCGTTAGTTTTCGAGCCTCCCAGATAATTCTGGCATGCAGTAGGGTAACCGACCATCCCAGGGACCTCTTTAAAAAATGAGTTTCACACCCTGGACCTATTATGAAAAATGGGCACCCTGATGCATGGAAGGTTAAAAATCACTGGTTTTCTGAGAGGTATTTCTGCTGTGTTTTGATTATACTTTTTTATTAGACTCTTAATCCATTTCTTTGATGTTTTGATTTTTTCCTAAAGGCAAAGAAAGAAGGAAATACAAAAATGTATCACCCTTAGAGACCTGAAGTCACTAGTTGTGTTTAATAACAGTTTTGTAATGTTGCTTGTAAATACTATCTTGTTTTTGTTTTTTTTAAGCTTCACCTGAGGATATTTTTTCCATTGCTTTTCAGAGAGGGAGGGAGGGAAAGAGATTGAGAAAGTGAAACCTCCATGTGAGAAAGACACATCGATGGGTTGCCTCCCACATGCTCCCTGGCCGGGGCTGGGGATCAAACCTGCAGCAGAGGTACATGCCCTTGGCTGGAATCAAACCCAGGACCCTTTAGTCTGCAGACCCATGCTCTAACCACTAAGCATAATTGGCCAGGGCTACTTTGTATCTTTTTAATGCCAACAAAAGCATACTTCTTAATATTTATTTTTCATATATAAAACTTAAGTTTTAGACTTTAACAACTCTAGCATTAGTCATATTCTTTCTGTTGAAAGGTTTCCTCTTAAAATAACTGTTTTCTGATGTAGTCTCGATTGATATGCTCAACAGTGTCAAGTCCAACCCAGAGCAACTCCTTTGCAGGCTGGGAGGTGGGGGAGGGGAGATCCCCACTTCCAGCTATAGAACTGCCACCTTAGGTCTTGATCTCATCAGCCCCTTTGTTAAGCAGACTTCTGCTTCCGGAGATTACTGGACACTTCTATGTTCCAAGGAGTCTTACAAAATATGTTGACTTATTTCTTGACAACACATGCACTGCCTGCCAAGTATAAGGTTACCTGCTATTTGCATATATACTTCTCCTCACATCACCCATGTAAACTGGGCGTTTATTCCCATGTTACAAATGAGAAAACTCGGGCTCAGAGACGTCAGCAAGTCCGGCCTCACACAGCTATTGAGAAACCTAGGTTTTTTGGACCTTGTTCCTGCTCTCTCAAGGCCATCACTGTTCCCACTGTTACACTCTCCTCTGGACGGCACAGGCATCGGAATGGGGGCTCTCTTGTCCAGCCCCCAGCCTCTTGCTCCGTCTGTGCCCCAAGGGAACCACTCGGTTTCAGGAAGAAAGTTGAGATCCCAAAGGGGTATGTTTGTCAGCAGCATTCAGAAATATTTTTTGTCATTGGGATGGCCACCAATTTGCAGTTCAGTCATTTCTAAGTGCAAGGTAGTTTGGTGAGAAGAGTCTGATGACTTAATTGCTGTTTTTCCTCCTTTAGATTCATTTACCATTCAGTTTAATTCTGAATCTTTGTAACGGGTGGAAAAAGGTTTTGCTGAGTGAGGCCAGTTTCTTCCTGAATGCCATCCTACTTGGGAAATATTAACAGTTTACATATTTAATGTTGGAATTTCCCCCCTGATCAGTTATTACCCGTCTATGTGCTTCTGGGCACTTTGGGATAGGATGTTTTAGAAATGGACCACCCTTTTCGAAGGCTAGGTACACGACAGGAACAGGTGCAATTTTTGAGTGCCTCTGCCGCCAGGCTGAGCTTTTCCTGTGTTACCTGGTTTGTTTCTCTTAATCACCCTTCAAGTCTTATGACATCAAAGCCTGTTTCCTGGCCTGACAATGAATAGAAGGAAATCACCTGCACAGGGACCCAGAAAAGGGACAGATGCAGGGCTTGGACTGCAGACCTTCAACTCCATTCCCTCTGCTCTTCATGGGCACAGAGCTGCGGCCGTGCTCCCAGGATTGATGAGGCAGGAGCCACAGTGAAGGGATTTCTGGAAAGAGCTTCCTAAATTTGCTTCTCCATCCACAAAGGATGCAGTCAACAACCAATACTGATTTGGGGAGGCATCTCTCGAGCAGAAATGTCTGTGATGATGCACGCAGCAGGCTCATGATGTACTTGATCGGCTGCTTTTCTTTTCATATGAACATCTAGCATGGAAATGCATTTGTTTGCCACTGGGACATTGTACAATTTGCTGGGCATGGAGAGGGCAAGGTGATTTAGTAACTAGCTTCTATATGAACCTGAGTTGTAGTTAGAATTACTGTGGAGAAGATGCTCTAAGCGCCCGTCAGCCACTTTGCCATTCAGGCTGGGCAGATGGTTTTGCCCCAGAGGTAAATTATCTTTCAGGCTGTATAACCAAGCAAATATAATTAAAATTATAAAATGAGATTCATTATATATTCTGGAGAGAACAACTGTGAGGCAACAAGAAGCCTATCATGTAGCCCTTTTGACTATTTTTGTGATTGGCATCATTTCTTCTTTTTCCATAAAAAAATGGAAATATTTTGAACTTATGATGTGTGAGTAACTTAGATCCAAGCACTTTTAGTCACATTATCACAGTTCATCCTCACGACAGTCCTGTGAGGTAGAGGTGCTCTTACTGTCAGAGGAATCGGAGTTTGCCCAGGTCACCTAGGGAGCAATGGGCTAGGACTTAAAGCCCCGTAATCTGATTCCAAAGCCTATAGCCTCAAGCACTGTCTTACTAATACTTCTAATTCCGTTGTACATGTGATGTTTTCAGTATTGAGAAGTGCTTCCTTTTAAATAAGAACTTATACATGCAATCCTTTATGGTTTTTATAGCCCTATGTCACTGAAGCAAAGTCAGTCTTGTTTTTTCATGTGTCCCCATAGTAAATCTTTAAGAAGTCAGGACAAGTGAACTCAAGTCAGAAGGAAAACCCACCAGCAGCAAGTGCTGCACTTGGGCCTTTTCCTGGGAAAAGACAGGGCAGTGTGGAGGCAGCGCATTGGTGACACTGGGTAGCAGTGTCTGGCTGACACTGCAGGTGACGCTGTGTTAAGAAGCTCGCGCTGTGCTGTTCACAAACAGGCAACTTAATGTAAATGGCCATTCCACTTACTGTGCCAAAAGTTAATAACGCTAAGTATTTTCTGTGTTTTTGAGAACCATCCTAAGTTCTCTGAAAGGCTTGTTTCTAGTCCCAGGAGTGAGTGCAGGTGTTTTGTAACCACTACGTGGTAAGTTTGGGAGGCAGGTAAACACTGAAGGCGGTGACGACAGTCATTTACTGGGTGCCTTCTCAGTGTCAGGCGCACGCACGTCCTGGTATCTACAGGATTTTCTGTAATCCTTCATCATCAGCCTGCTGGGCAGTGACTCGCCAGGAGGACCCAGCTGGTTTGCTTGCGTGTCGACCGGATGGAGCAGGTGGGTGGAGGGAACAGGGATGAGGAGCCCCTTCACTGCTCAGGTGTGCCTGCTGCTGCCCACGAGTGAGTACCAACGTCAAGCCTCCCCAGTTTCCCATGCCACTTGATCCGTTTCCCTCTGACTTGGGGTGTTACCTCTGAGGTCTCAACCCTAACTCCCTACCCGCTGACTAGCCATACAAGTTGCAGAGGCCAAAGAGACTGCTTATTCCAAAGAAGCTTGCCATCTTTCCCAGCTGGACTAAGGGAAGTGCCAGTGTGGAAACATTGCATGATTTGGAGAATGGCTTAGTCGCCAAGAAGATCCTTTCTCCCAGGTGACGTAATTCAGTCATGTCCTAGTCCATTACCTTCCCCATAAACTATTTGCCAGTCACAGCCCCATGCGCTTCATATGTGGTCACCTGTTCCTGCGGGGTTTTAACTCGGAATCACTGCTGTAATGGTTCTTCAGAGGCACCCCCGGGGCGCTGCGTTCCTCGGGCTCTACAGGTGGCTCCGTTCATTCTCTAGGGACTCTCCCCCGTCGGGACGTGCTCCACTCCTTGCTATGTGATCTCATGGTCCATTATCTTAGGATGTTAGGCCTTTAGTTTTAGGAGGCATGACACTCCCAAGTTTTAAAAGGACCTGGAGAGAAAATGGTGAAGCTGCCTTCTGTGGCTTCTGAAGACTCTTGGAGGCTGGGAACGGTGCTGGGAAACTGGAAATGTACCAGTGGAATCCTGGTTTGGAAGATGCTTCCAACAGAGGTACCTCGTTACATGGTTTATTTGAGAATTTCATAGGATCAACATGTTAAGTTGGAAGAGTTGGTGACCGAGCTGTGCCAGGCAGGCCTGTGACTTTCCTCTCTGTTTTTCTCTTTCTCCCCCCTCCCTCTCCTCTGGAACTGGTAGGATCGTGAGGCCGGCAGCTGAGAGATGTGCAGATCTTTGAACAGAGTTGGGAACTGAGGACTGGACAAGAGGAGGTGTGTGCAGTTCACAGCCAGGCTGTCGAGAGGGACTATGTTGGCAGCTTTAGGAGGAGGCTGGTTTCAGTTTCGTTGAAGGGTCAGTTCTTGACAATGAGAACTATGCAGTGATAACATTAGCAGCTGGAGAGGAAAGGAGTTTTATTTATGGCAATATTAGAGCATCGACTGCATGGTCAGCTGGTGAAGATGTTCAGAGTATTTAGATGCTGCTGGAAGTTTGATGAAAGCCAGTGATTTCTAACACTGGCTTTCATCAGACTCCCATGGTGTGCTCTTACTAACCACAGTGCCTCTCCCCTTCCCTTTCCCCCAAGAGGGTGAAGCCCAGGAATGGCTCCCTTAGCTGTGATTCCGAGGCTCGTCCAGGTTCGAGGACTGCTGGACCAGGTCCCCTCTCCAGCCCCTCCATGCTTCAGGCCTCTGGGTTTTTTAGGTCCTGGTTGCAGCTGTGGTGTGTGTTCTCTGTAACAGGATGAAAAAGCTGAGGGGAACATGTTGACGATAGGCTTCTTAGATGGTAAAAAGCCTATTTCAGCAATCTGCAGAGTCAGGCTGGGCTTAGAAATCACCTAGATGAGCATTGTCTTTTACATACATAGTGGTGCACAAGTCTGACGGGGCCCCTAGATGCCACCGGGCCTTGATTGCAGCTGGGAATAGCTTCTGAGAGGAGGTGACTGTCGTTTGCAAAAGCAGCATAGGAAAGAGAACAGGGAAAAAAAAAACTTGGTATCAGGCGTCGTATGTCCTTATGGTGCTTTCCGGAACTGCTACAGGGCAGGTGTGGTGCTAGACCTGAATGTGCCATAACTGTTTCCCCGACCCTGCAGAGGGACCTGCTCCCTCAGACCGGCCTGTCGGACTTTGTCCGGCTCCTGGCCTGTTGGTGTGCCCAAAGGAGGCTGCCAACCCCCCGCAGCGCTGCCTGTCACGGCGAGAGTGCTGCGGGCCTGACTGGGCTCCACGCTTAGAGAGCCTCAGACCTCAACAGTGTTCCCTTCACGTGCGCGCCACACTGTGGGAAATCGGAGAACAGGCCTTAATTCTAGTTGCCGATGAAACATTGGAACTCAGAAGGTTTAAGTGGGTTCTTAAGGTCTTTAAGGCTTTTGACAGATCCCAAAATAAATGGGTCTTTGCTTAGTCCTAATTGTGAATTTGGGGGGGAGGGGAAGGTATGTAAAAATAACTTTGTATATAAAAGTGGTCACTGTTACACATATTGTGGCACTTGCTGTAGAAAACATCCGCCTGCTGGCCAGTGTCTGGGCCACCTTCGTGTACCAGCTGGTCTCCCTGCAGCCATCACTTCAGCTCAGCAGCTGGAGGCTGGAACTGGAGTTGCTTACAGACCATGTCTTGTCCCTGCTCCGGGGTCTCCCCGGCTCTTCCTCACACGGGAGAGGCCACATCCTATGACTCTGTTCTGTGGATCCTGCCCCCACCCCTGGGACTCTGTGCAATTCTTCCGTCGCTTCCTCTCCTGGCTCCTTCCTGTCCCTCAGGTGCTCCAGGCCCTCTTCCCACAGGCCTCTGCTGCTCTGCTGGAAGCGCCTTCTCCAAACAGCCACACGCTCACTCCCCAGCTGCCCCAGGTCTCTGCTCAGATGTCAGCTTACCCAGAGGCCCCTGCTGACCCTCCTCACCTCTGCGCCAGCCCTAAACTCCATCACATAGCTACTCCCTACCCCCCCTCACCTGCCTTGATGGGATTTTGTTCCCAAATATTGAGTGACAAATATATAACCTGCCCCCCCATATACCCTCACGAGATGAGGACTGATTTGCTTTTGGTCACCTCCCTGCAGCACTTAGAACAGAGCAGTGCCCAACACACGATGGAGACTCAGTAGGATGAGTGAATGTCTGTCTACCCAGTACCGTCAGTGTTGACTTAGTACTTGTGAAAGCAAGCAGACTGTGTGCCTAGACACTCAGGTCCACGCGGGTCATTAGCTGTCATGGAGAAGCACATGAACACTGGACCCGAAGCCCTGGCTGCACCGCTTGGTAACGTGCGTGTTTAAGAGCTGAAATGGCAGCACACTTCCCCAGCTGCGAGGGAGGCCGATGTGAAATTATACCCACGCCATTGGTAGGACGCCCTCAATGACGTTTAAAAAAAATGTCACAATGAAAGGCTCTTCTGAGTCACTGCTGCACTTTCCTTACTCTTGTTTGTGTCTGTGGTTGGTCTACAGCAAGGGTGGGGAACCTTTCTTATGCCAAGGGCCATTTGGATATTTGTAACAGGCCATACAAAATTATCAACTTAAAAATTAGCTATGAAAACTCCTAGATTTATTGACTTTCGAGTCCTGCCTGCTGTTGCCTTGGCAGGGCCAGACCAAATGATTTTGCAGGCCGTATACGGCCCACGAGCCCGACGTTCCCCACCTCTGGTCTACAATGACGAGTTTTAGAGGCTGATTTGAGAATATTTTCAGTTTGTTTTCTGTTTGCCAGCTCAGTGGTATTGTGTGTTATCAGCATGTGTCTAATGTTGATATCAAGCGTGAATTCACAAGGTCATTGAGATACAGAGTAAGTTTGGAAATAGCTCAGCCAACCCTTAAGTTCATGTGTTCAACCTGCTCTGTGATTTCTCTTTTCCTCTTCAGTGTTGCCTGGAATATCAGAGAATTGGAAACCGTCATATTCAGGGACCGTGCATCTGTGTGGTGGCATTTAAAAAAAAACTAAGAATGCTCCCAGGAAGTAACCATGCGTCTGCCAGTCCAAGTTTGTTGCAGGCTGCCTCCGAAGGCCTCTACCATGTGAAGTCTCCCTGGGTCCCCATGTACTCTGTTTGGAAATGCAATTGAAGAAGATGAAGGATATTGGACAGCAGTTGTTCAATTCACAAGTAAATGATGGACGTAACTCTTTGACCATGTCACCCAGACAGCCTAATGCTAATAGAGCCACTCGGCCAGACAGACAAGAAGCCCAGGCTTCTCTGTACCAAGGCTCCGAGGCAGAGGCCGTCATGACGACCACTGCCACATGTATGAAGTGCAAGAGTGCCCACCAGATCCCTCTTCAGGACTTGAAAAGGGGGCCCGGGCAAAGCCAGAAGGACAATAGATATGTGTGCTTCCAGTGCAGCCGGGGAGGGGCTCCTCCCCACGTCCCATTCGGGAGCGGTGATCCCAGTGCTGCTCACATAGGAAATAAGGCTGAAACCATCGGAAGTCCTGGCAACAGCAAATTCAAGGTAAGGAACTTCAAACCCGGCAAGTACTACTGTGATAAATGTCGCTTTTCCACAAAAGACCCTCTGCAGTACAGGAAGCACACACTTCAGCACGAGGAGATCAAGTTCGTGTGTTCTCACTGCAGCCACATCTCCTACACGAAGGGGGAGTTCCAGAGGCACTTGGTGAAGCACACGGGCGTGTTCCCCTATCGGTGTGAGTACTGCGACTATGGTGCTATCAGAAACGATTACATTGTCAAACACAGAAGGAGAGTGCACGAGAAGGCCGGCGGAAAACGGCCGCCCAGAGCCGTCGCCAAGCTGGAGCCGAGGAGGAGCAGCGTGTCCAAACACACAGAGCTTCTCAAAGCCTCCGACCTGGGCTCTGCTCCACAAAGCAAGTTGCCAGATCAGCTCTCGAAGTTCTCCCTCCAGACAGACAAAGACAGAGCACAGAGCATCACGCTGGCACCCGAGTCGAAGGAACCCCAAAAAGACGTGGTGTGCGTTCCAAATAAGGTGACCCTGTCAGAGCCAAATGAAGTGGGTCTGTTGGAGAAAAGCGTGGAGGTAGAGGTGTTGTCCCCAGCCACAGAGCCCGTCCAGCCCGGAATGCCGCTGACCGTGGTGGCACCTGCGGAGCTCGTGGTCCCCGCTAACTGTCTGGCCCAGTTGGTAGACGTGAAGGTTGTCAATGGAACACAGCAGCTTGTCCTGAAGCTGTTTCCTCTGGAAGAAAACGGTTGCCTGGAAGCTGGTGGGGGGGACGGCAGGCATTCGGAACGTAGGACTGCCGAGGGGGCTTCCGCTGGACAAGGGAAGATGGGTTCTGCAGAACAGACCAAGTCACTAGCGATCGAAGGGAGTGTTGGAGAACCCAGAGGCCTCAGCACCCTCCAGTCAGTTCAGAAACAGGTTAAAAATGTGAAATGGGTACGGTCCTACGATTTGTTCATGTCAAATTCCAGTGTGTACAGCTGTGGAGAGTCCCTTCTCAAGTCTGCTAGAGTTGAGGATTTGCAGAAAAAAAGGCCAGTGTATCCGCACAGACCTGCTCTTCCTCCTGTTGCCTTAAGAGGTCCCCCCCCTTCGTCTGCAGTGAAAAACAGTGTATTGTGTGGTCTTGGCGCTGCACCAAGTCCTTTTCCATATAAAGCTGCTGTTTCTTTTACTGAAGGTGGGAGACATTTGCACAGTGACCCCCCAAGGTTTCTTCCTCTTCCTGCGTCACCTACAACCATTTCCTTCTCTGGAGAAAAGGGCTTTTTGCCCGTAAGTAGAAACGACTTGGCATCTAGAAGTGAGATCAGTTTTCCTGTAAGAATGGTTGCGTCTACTAGGAAACTGAAGGACAGCCAGCCAGAGGAATACAGGGCAGTTTCAAATACAGGCCAGGTTTCCTCTCATCGTAAAAGCGAGTACTTACACATAAACATTACAGGAGAGGATAGACTCCGACCTCAGCAGCCCAGGGATAAGCCTCTGGAATTAAAGAACATTGAAAGGACTAATGACTCTTTCGATGGCCCGGTCATCTCATCAGTATTTTCTCTGAGCTCTGGATCTGAAAACGTCCCAGAGGGCGTTAAGTGGAATAGCTCACCGTCCAAAATAAAGTCAATTGAACTCTTGCGCAGAAAGATTGCTCAGTTAATTGAGTCCTGTGGTAAGCCTTCATCCCTGGCTGCAAATAACGCACATCGTCGATCTGTAGGGCAGGCATCAAAGGCACCTTCGGAAGTTACCCCTGAAGGTATTCAGGAAATTAATGTCTCATTTACTGGCACTGGCTATTCCATGGGGACTTTCTCAAAACCTCAGGATGATGGTGGTATTAGTGGACAGCTTACTTGTCAGCAGATATATCCACGGTTTATAGAAGGCAGCAATAGGAAAACCGAAAGCCAAGTAACTAGGAAGGCTCATGTTGCTCCTCCAGTGTTGATCCCCAAAGGGGCAGTGTTGAGGGTTCTTAATTCATCTGAAGATGCCCACATTATAGAGGCTACATGTGAAACACCCGTCAGCATCCCGTACAGCGAGACACAGCTAATAAAACCCATTCCGTCCTGCCCAAAGACACAGACAGACTCAGACTTACAGCCTTTGACAGGTGAACGTGGGCCAATAGACATGTCCCATAACCTCGACATCTCTCTTCGGCCTAAACCAAGAAAAGAGAGTGCTGTTTGTAGCACCGCCCCCAAAAAAACTGGCCCGTTACAGAGTCAGCAAGGAAGCAGTGAATTGAGTAAGCCAGGGAAGGTGCCCTCCAGAAGTCTTCCTGTAAGTAAGAGTAAAACCAGGCAAGTAAACTCATCCAAGAAGAAAAGCAAAATGCAGGCTGATGCCAGCCGCTGTTTCAAGGATCCTTCAATTTTTCAGGTTGCAAGACAGCTTCGACTGATAGCAGCTAAACCGGACCAGTTGATTAAATGCCCCCGTCGGAACCAGCCTGTCATTGTGTTAAACCATCCCGATGTTGACTCACCAGAAGTGACCAATGTGATGAAGGTAATAAACAAGTACAAAGGCAACGTCCTCAAAGTCGTCCTATCAGAGAGGACCAGGTGTCAGCTAGGCATCAAGCGCCATCATGTCCGGCTGACCTACCAGAACTCGGAGGAAGCCAATCAAATAAAAAGGCAAATGATGTTGAAAATGAAACTTAAAAAAGTTCATAAGAACAATTACCAGGTGGTGGATTCCTTGCCCGATGACTCACAGTGCACATTCAAGTGCTGGTTTTGTGGACGGCTGTACGAAGACCAGGAAGAATGGATGAGTCATGGCCAACGGCATTTGATAGAAGCAACTAGAGATTGGGATGTTCTTTCCTCCAAGGGCAAATAAGTGAAACATTGGTGTTAGAAGCAAAGTGGGTTTTTTTTACTTTTAGTTTATTCTGGTTAGGGTTGGGTTGGGCTTGGTTCTTCCCATCCCTGACTCAGTAGGAGAAACAGGTTGTAGGAGTGGGAGGACCCTTATTTCTTCAGATCCCTTGTAGGACTGTTGGGAACCAGGAATCTGGTTTAACCTGACATGTGATGGAACTTGGAAGGTATTTGAAGCCCCTGAAAGAGTACACACACTTATGTACATGCACTTTTCTGGGGAGAAGTGAAACTTTTAACCGATTTTCAGTGGGATCTGAGACTTTTCTGTTTAGCACCCCGTTTTCTGAGTAGATACAAATCTCTTGTAGTCCTTTCAGGGGGTGAGTTTAGAGTGTTTTACATATGCTCATATAACAAAATGCTACTGATGAATTAAACTCCCGTTTGGTGTGCACATCCACTTTTTATTTGCATTAACTCATTTCCTGAATACTTGGTACATAATGGAAATTATATTTGCTACTGTTATCTTAAATTTGGTTACAGAAAGTGGCCGTTCTCTTAAGCCCCTCAGCCCTGTATAATCCTCATAAGTGTTCTTTATAGCACAGAACTGTGCTTTTCAGGCCATTTGAAGGAATGATTATAAGGGTTTGCCTGAATTTGCTAGTTCAACAGCAGGTGTTAGGAAAGAAAGACATTTTCAAGCTTTTGTTTTTTTTTTAAACATCTCAATTTATGACAGTTGGGGAGGGAATGTGTCTTTTTCAAAATAAAGAGATGGTCACAGAGGGAAAATATCGCAAGTCAAGTCTCCCGTTTGTCACCTCTCGAAGTAACCAATGGAAAACGTGAGTAGGTCTCTCACAGCATGGGTAGAACTGGGAAGGTAACGCAGTGTTGGGCCGTAGGGACAGCTGTGACCAGTGTGGCTGAGGTCCGTTTGGGAACTCGCCCACGGGAGCGTAGGCTGCACTCTCTCCGTCACCCAGGGCGCCGACGCTGCCCCAGGGCACGGCTGCTCTCCTTTGCCAGGCCCTCCTGTGGAATAAGCTAGTCCCCACTCACCTGCTGTCCCTTTCCTTTTGTGCCTTCGAGGCCCCTTAAAGTTTTCCCTCGTGAAAAATACTAAAAACAGGCAAGAATCAACAAAGTGGAAATGCCCCACCATCTTTGTTAAGGTTATAGGAGCATTATCCTGGGGTTTCATTGGTAGTAACAACCTGCTTCTAATTGATCTTAGCCACAGTCACGCTCTCCCTGTTGCTCGCTTTCCTAGGAAGCACCTCTGAGAACATTCCTGCTCCCTTGTCTACCATCACATGTCAGGACCAGAGCTGAGCTGTGCAGCACCTTCATGTGCACAAAAAGCTCGCCCACTGCACAGCCGGGCCTCTTGGGCAGGTACTTGGTTGGCAGAGCTCAAACTGCGGGCCTCCCACCGCCCTGCAGAGCGCGAATGGCTCAGCCTCGGGAGCCCCAGCGCTTGTGCTCCTCCCTGTAGCTTTAAGGAATGAACGTGCTGGTGTGGATGCCCCGGGGGCTGTTACAGCTGAGAGACGCCAGGGAGATTTCTGTTGGTTGGGTAGTCGGTTAGAGACTTATTTCTACCCCTCCCCATGAAGTCTTAGATTACCCTCTAATAGGTGGGGTTGCAATTCTTTGTTTTTTCTCATCACAAGGAGCTAACGTCTTATGCATGATTCAGGACAAGGTCATTGAGTTGATTGGTTAATTTTTGTTGAAATTTAAGATTTGGATTTTTTATGTGTATATATGTGTATGTACACATATCAATATTTTTTACCATTTGAGAACTAGTAGCTAATTTTCTGATTTCCTGTTTTATAATGAAATTAGGTGGGTTGGGAAATATGACATTTTATATTCTAGAAATAATTTATTTTGGAAGTACCTTTTTATAATGGTCTGATCTCACTTTTAGCAAATGAAAGCACAGTAAGTGTGGGTCGAATTTGTATGTACAAACGGAGTGGCCACCCCTGCGGGTCATTTCATTACAGGACTTGGTCCCACACTTGTCCAGTGGGGGCATTTGGGGCAGTGGAGCTTGGGGACCGCTTCACTGCCTAGGGAGGCCACTGTGAAGTTTTACCCGTGTACAGATTTGCACCCTCCAACGTGAGAGAAGCCTCCTGAGACACTCGGGGGGAGAAAAGGCTGTGAGTTTTATTTTCTCTTCTATACCTCATCACTTAGTCACGTCTTTCCTGAAAGCTTAGGCCTTCAAGAGAGGGAACCGTGCATCGGGTCAGAGTGCTAAGTCAACATGAAGTATTTACACTTTGCAGCATCAACTCTTTTTCAAGTATTACCTGAAACAGCTTGTGTGCTTGTCCAGAGCTCACTTTTGTGGGTAGAATGTAGCTAAACTTTGGGGGATTTTCAGAATTACAGTCCTTGTTAAGGAATTAAGAGGCTCCTGGAAGTCATAAAAAGTGAGAAAGCAACAAATGGTTGTCTTTCCAGTGTAAGGAGCTTAGGAAATAGCTTGTTGACTGTAGGTTAAGTGTCATGAAATGAACTATATCATTTCTAACAACGTTGGAGGAGGTAGCAGGACTGTCTTGAGTATGTGTGTGCTCTTTCTTACCATGACTTTGAAGGACTCTACTCACTAAATTGTACTAATGGCACTAATGAAACCATTTTACGCTTGTTTTTTTTCAATAGTTGGAACTCTTGTTTTAATCAATTACTTAAGCTTAAAGTGATTTAATAATGCTGTGACTAGTTTTTAATTTATTGATTTTAGAGAGGAGGGGGAGAGAGACACACACATCAGTTTGTTGTTCCACTTATTTATGTATTCATTGGTTGCTTCTTGTATGTGCCCTGACCAGGGATTGAACCCACAACCTTGGAGCATTGGGACGATGCTCTAACCAACTGAGCTACCCAGCCAGGGCATACACTTTTTTTAAAAAATATATCTTTATTGATTTGAGAGAGAGGAAGGGAGAGAGAAAGAAACATCAATGATGAGACTCATTGATCGGCTGCCTCCTGCACGCCCCCCAACTGGGGATCGAGCCCGCAGCCTGGGCATGTGCCCTGACCAGAAATCAAACCGCGATCTCCAGGATCCTAGGTCCACGCTCAACCACTGAGCCATGCTTGGCCGGGCCACACACTTATTTTTTAAAGTAGGTTGTCTTTTGGGGAGCAGAAATGAGGCGATCTTTTTATATATATGATGTGACAAAGAGTGAATTTTTTTAAATGACCAATAGATTACATTTTACTCAAGTTTTTATCCCTAGCCCCAAATAATATTGTGAGCCCGTTAATGGGCTAAGTGCTGTTGAACTAACCCAAACACCATGTGTTAACCCTCAAAGCCCATCCCTTCTGCTGTGGGGCCATAGAAGCCGTCCCAGAAAACGAAGGTGCGATGCTGCTCGGCCTTTCTGATATTATTTGAACCTGTCATTGTCAACGTGAGAAAAAGAAACCCTCGCATAGCCCCTTTCAAGCATCTGTAGAGCTCCTGTGTCAACTGTGTGTGCTGCTCTGTTTCTGAAACACGTTTCTATAGAGATATAGAAGTTGGAGTAAATTTTGTTAAATAAAGCACCTGTAAAAGTCTATCTGTCCTTTCATTTCAGAGGTTAAGCAGCGTGGCTCGCTCTTGCACAGCCTGTCTTGTGTACGTTTCTGAGCCACATGCAGTCAAGGCAATTCACTGCACAGCGCAGGGGCCTCGCTTCACCCGGGGTCTGCTTGGAATCCGATGCCCTGCTGGTTAACCCCGTACCCTGAGAGGAGGCCAGGCTGCTTTCTTGTTTTGCTCTGGCCAGAACCCTCTGGGTGCTGGTGTGGGCAGCAATGGCAGTTTTCATATCTTGGTCAGTGGCCTCATCAGAGAACAGATGGGGCATTTAACCTGGGGAGCTTTCCACAGGGAGGGGGACCCGGGTGGGAGAGCCCAAGCCATTGAGGAGCCTCCCGGACCGCGGAAGTATAGCTGCACTGTGGGTGCCATCCATCCAAGTGCAGTTGATCCCACACGTGCGTGGGAAGAAGGGGTGTGAGGATACTTGAAGAGGGTTAAGTCCCTCCCCTCATTCCCAGGAACTAAGTCAATCGGGGAAAGGAGACTTGGACCTGAGATGAGTATTGGCAGCCCCTGAGGAAGACAGATGGGAGTTGCTTCACTGCAGCAGTTTGGCTGATTGTTACGAGTTGAAATGAGTCATTGTCCTCTAATCCTGCAGAGAGAGTCTAACAAGTTGTCACCTCTGGTTATTTAGGGGGCAGTAGAGGTCAAATAAGGTGGTGAAAGCCTGAAGGGGGTTTATATTAGGCATGGACCAAGGTGGTGACAATGGGAGTAGAAGAGGGGACTTGGACAGAAAGTGACTTCCTAAAGTTAGGAAGTGGCAGTCACTAGACCACATTTTACCAGTAAGAAAACTATCAGAATGAGTAATGACACCCGATTCACCGGGCTGCATGCAGATGGATGCAGGAGGCACCATGGTACCCCTCACGTCTGTAACGCTCTTCGGCAACAGGCGGAGCTTTCTGCAGCCACAGGCTACACTCATTGTGAACTGCTTTGGGGTTCAGCTCGTACCAGACACACTGATTGGGGTGAGACGTCATGCTAAGGTCAATGGACTCAGTCTAGAGCAGTGCTGTCCCATAGAAATAGGATGTGAGCCATGCATGTAAACATTTCTTTAGTAGCCACATTTTTTCTTTTATATTTTTCAAATATGTTTTTACTGATTTCAGAAAGGGAGGGAGAGGGGGAGAGATGGAAACAACGATGAGAGAGTCATTGATGGGCTGCCTCCTGCACACCCCCCACTGGGGATCAAGACCACAACCCAGGCATGTGCCCTGACGGGGAATTGAACTGTGACCTCCTGGTTCATGGGTCAAAGCTCAACCACTGAGCCACGCCGGCCAGGCAGCCACATTTATTTTTTTTTAAATATATCTTTGATTTCATAGAGAGGAAAGGAGAGGGGGAGATAGAAACATCAATGATGAGAGAGTCATTGATCAGCTGCCTCCTGCACACCCCTGACTGGGGATCGAGCCCACAACCAGGGCATGTGCCCTGACCGGGAATTGAACCCCGATCGCCTGGATCCTGGGTTGACGCTCAACTGCTGAGCCACGCCTGGCTGGGCAGTAGCCACATTTAAAAGAGCAAAAAGGGCAGATGGAATTAACATTTTAGATGTATTGGGTGAAATATAGTTATTTACACATTTTTTATCAACAAAATTTACTACGATATTTTATGTATACACACATTAATAAAGTATTTTTTAAAATACATCTATTGATTTCAGAGAGAGGAAAGAAGAGAGAAACATCAATGATGGGAGAGTGATTGATCGAGCCCGCAACCCGGGCATGTGCCCTGGCCGGGAATTGAACCCCAATCGCCTGGATCCTAGGTTGACGCTCAGCTGCTGAGCCACGCCCAGCCAGGCTAATAAAGTATTTTTAATAAAGTCTTTAGAAATCTGGTGTACATTTTAAACTTATAGCTTGTTTTTATTTTGATGCCAAGTTGTTCCTTATAATGAGATGCAACCCTACCCAAACATCTAAGTTGTATTTAACAGGAAGGTTTTAGACTATTCAATTTATAATAAAATCTGAAGCACTCAGTTCTTCAGTCACCCTCCCTAGACACATTCCAGATGCCTAGTGGCCACCACACTGAGCAGCACAGGACAAGGGGAAACACACCGTTGTAAATACCAGCTGACTGTCCGGGCTGCTTGGTGGGAAGGGTAGTTTTAGTCATGTGTCTCTAAACCTAGGGCAGGCTAGGTTTTGCTAACTCCCCTTTAGGAAATGCCAGTTCTGTGCCAAATCCTATTTAAGTCCAGCAGTTCTATTTCTAGGTCTGTACCTTAGAGAGTGGTTACACCTGGGGCTTTTTGAGGTTATTTTATAATAATCCTAGTTGGTGAGCCAAACAAATGTTTCTCATTCACACTGCAGATGCCCAGTCTGGCAGGGACCTCATCTGATGGGGGTGGGGGAGGGTCTCATCTTGTTAGCTGAGCCATCTGAGCCACCTGGGCATCACCCCAGGGAAAGGGCAAAGGCAGGGAAAGGGCAAGAGGAGAGGACCCGGCAGGGGAGAAACACAGCGCTCCCACTAACAACCCATTGCCCGGATGGAAGGTCACTCCCAAGGGGCGCCTGTGTTCTCGGAAGGGCAGCAGAAGGGCCACTAATGATCTGACACTGGATCGCGGGTGGCATTGGGGTATCAGTGGCAGTCCCTGTGTGGAAAGCAACTTTCCAACCCGATAGTTGGGAAATGACAGTCGGCTGAGAGCTGAAGACATGAAGAAACAGGAACTTCAACATACTGTTTGGCAATAATATCGAAACTGGAGGAAGCGGTGAATTCTTTCCCTGTCCATCCCCCGTTCCTGGTGGGACAGCATACCTTTGCAAGTCGGACTTCATTTCCTGTGTGTGGCCTGCTGGTAGTTTGTCCACTTACTATTGAGCTACTTAAACTTTTAAAAGAAAAGACATTTTTTAAAAATCCATAAGGAAGAATTCTTTAGGTTTGGGGCTTTTCGTGCTTCATTTTAGCTGGGCCATCTGAACCACCTGCTGTAATCACCCTGGCAGGGGAAGAGCAAGAGATGGCCCTGCACAGGGGGAGAAGTCCTTCCCTACCGTTAGGGCACAGAGAGCCTTTTATATCAAATTTAGTATCAAAATGAACTTCCATAGGATAGTGGACACCATAATAAAATACAAGCTGTCAGTTACAGGCTCTTTCAAAAGGATTTCTGGGTCCAAAGTTTAAGATGAAAAATATCTAAAGCATATTAGATTTATATCCTCACAAAAGTCAGTCCCAGGGGAATTATTCACTTAGTTGTCCTAACACCCATTTTTGGAGAGTCTATGCTTTTCTCCCTGGTTCCAGGTTCCATGCACATGTGGCTCCATGGCTGGGCCTCTGCTGCTGTGTGAGGCTGTATATTGTGATTCTTCTTCAAAGTTAATTATTTTTTCTTAGTTGATAGTATTATAGCTGTCTCCCACCCCCAGCTTTGCCCCCCT